AGGGAAAACACAAGCGTGTCATTCTGCATCACAATGCCTGAGCCACCAGCAGTCACAAAATCCTTCATTTGGCCTTAAGTGTGTTTGGAGATCTGTTGCAATAAATATTTGGATTCTTCCCAGTTGATCATTCCACTCGACTCGCCGTCCTTGGGCTGCGTGGCCACACCAACAACCAGTTGAATAGCTGAGTCACCCGCCGCCCTTTCCTCATCATCATTGTCGTACTTCTCTTCGCAGATTCCCGCAAGTGGAAACACCTTATTGTCCCCTGCAATGGATGCGGGCCAACAAAAAAACGCGCAAACGATCATCGCCATTCCTACTGCCAAGCACGGTGTCTGCCCTCCACTCCTTCTTGGCGATCTCAGCGACAATGGACGGCCACGTCTCCGCAGCCTTGATGTACCCAGCCACAATGTCGGAATAACAAGTCCCAAATAATTTCTCGTGATGGCCGTTATATTCGAGGAAGCCCTCAGCAAATGCAATCATTAGCCCACCAACACGGACGAGAGAGGGTGCGGCAAATGCTTCCTTCACTCCAGTCTCACCAGTCCCATCTTTTGGCAACACCTGCGTCTTATTCGGCACAAAAATAAAGACCCATTGCGGCAGCTGCACACCCCCTGGCTTGCTCTCCACAGCGTGTGCACCTCCACTGCCGCAGCACATCATAATCAAGAAAAGAAGGAGCAGCACCGCAAAAGTAAACACATGCCGGGATATGTTGGGCCTCTGCGGCTCACTCTCTCTTCCTTCCCTCGTCCTTCCGCTGGATCCGGTCACGCCGCGACGGTTGTGTGTGCGGGGTGCCATTACAGCAGCAACACGTGAGAGCATACAAATATGTGTGTGTGTGTGTGCTGTTGTTGGTCCTTTCAGAGCATTCGAATTTCACAGTGGCGATTCGCGCCTGATTTCCTTCTTTGTGTCTGTTCAAGAAGTGGAGAGGACAGCAGCAGCGGCAATACATCAGACACATCCGTAAGAAAAAACGTTTATTAACACCATCACATCAAAACAGCTAGTTACCATCCTAAACCCCTCAAAAATTATATGCCCAGTTAAAACAAATTTTAGAGTGGTACCCCTAAATTTCCCTTACAACAACTAAAATAACGGTTGTATGATTTCATTCAACAAAAAGAAATGCTCTTAGTACGCGTCATGAATAATGTTAAGAAAGGAAAACGCAAATCCCTGCGATTACAACCGGGCTTTTATAAACGCATATTCGACATCAAGAACATACAAAATATTATAACTCAGTCTATAGGTAAAGGGTCGTCATAACTCTCAACTCCATTTTTTAAGGAACGGAAGGCAGAACCCTATATCCCTTTTATTGGGAGCTAAAACATGAATGTTGATCAACCTTGTTTTTAAAACAACCAACACACACTTTTCAAAATCGCAAAAGCAACGCCGCAACGCAGAAACCCCTCCCCAGCCGCGCCCGCCCGGTGCCGCGGACACCCCAACCCTGCCGGAAACCCGCGGCAGCCTGACATCGAAATAAGGCGGGTCGCGGGCGGTGCGATTTCAGCGGGCGGCGTTGGTGGCGTCTCGGGCGTGGGGTGCCCATTTGTCCCATATTGTGGGCGACTCGCGGAACACACGTTCTCTAGGAGCGGCGGTGGGCGACGCTAGCCGAGTTGCCGAGAGTCGTGGTACATGTGTTTTTTTATTTTTCTAACACCGTACTGTAAATGCAAAATCCCCCTTATTTGTTACTTTCTGAATGCCCTTCCTTTGGTATGAAGAATCATGAGTAAGCGACTTCTTTTCTCGTTTCAAGATTTGTAGGCGGTATATATTATTCTGCTCATCTGCATGCCGTAGCGCTTTTTTTTATTTCTAAAGATCTTTATCTCGATCGGGATTATGACTAGTGCAGTGGTTTCTGCTCTTTTTGTTGTTTGTTTGTTTCTTCCTTTTTTTTCTTTCTGTTATTTGGCTTGTTTTTTTTCTTTAGAAAAAAAAACAAAGAAGAATTGTTTTATATGAGTATTTCCCAAAGTGATGATATTGGTAAGTTGAATGGTGGGAATTCAAAGTTGAACAGGTTGAAAAATTATTTATTGGCTAATGACTCCAACGGTGCAATTCATCGTTCAGAGGTGAGATCTGCGCTTTGCTCTGGAAACGATATGAGAACCAATTCCCCGTTTATAACGGCTGCGAAAAGCCTGAGGGATGATAAGGGGGGTAAAGATTTGTCGCTCGATGCAACTTCCGAAAAATGTGATTTGGAGTCGGCTCTTAAAAATTATCAGGAAGACTCGGAAAAACTTGGGAAACAATTGTTGACCTTGAAAAAAGAATTAGAAGCGGAAGTGAGTAGTAAGAGGGTGATGGAAGAGAAATTAAGCATGTTAGAAAGCATAGTTGCCACGCAAAAAAAGGAAATTTTATTGCTTCAACGTAAAGTTCAGTCAGGCGTTAGCGAATTATCGGAGAAAAAGCTAGAGAGTGCTCTTCGAGAGATTGCTTTTTTAAAGTCGAAGCTAGGTGGTGTGGGAGAGACGGAGAATTTATCTCAAGGAAATGTTGTTCTTCAATTGCGGTCTAATTTGAATAAGCTTGCTGCTGAAAAGGATGAATTACTGAACTGTGTGAGGAAGCAAAGCATGCTTTTAGATGTTTTGGAACGACAAAAACTGCATTTAGAGGCAGCAATTCTGATTGATGTTAGTGAAAAGGAACTCGAAAGGTACTTTGATGTCGCTCGTCCATAAACTATCTTATTTAATTGTCATAAATATTTTAGTGTTTTGGTCGAGAAATCAACTTTATAAGCTTGGCGTGATTTTTTTTTTTTTTTTTTTTCATATATGTGTTTTGTTTTTTGCCTTTGTAACTATTTTTGCTATTGCTATTTCTCAATTTTTTTACTGAAATTAAGGCATGGCGTGTATTACAGGGGATGATACAGGATTGGTTAAAGTGTGGGATATTTCAAGGAGCACAGGAGCCACTCTTGCATTTTCCTACGGAGAGCAAAGCAGGAAGAGGGGAATTGCTGGTATGTGTTGGCTGGATAGTTCGATGACGAAACTTGTTTTTTCTATGAATGATGGAATTGTGTCGGTATTGGACTTAGAAGAGCGTAGTTTGCTGCTGTCTAAAAAACTGGGATTTGTTGCAGGTTTACCTAACAGCCTTATTTTTTTGAAGGAGAATTTTGTCATGGCTTCTAAAGATGGTAAAGTATAATGCG